GGCAGCCTGTGTATGTCCTGGAGAGGAGTGCTCTTCACAGGGCCCCAGATCTCACAAGCTTGAGCCCAAAATGGCTCTCAGGAGAAGTGTTCCTAAAGTTCTGATGTGTCCTACTCAAGGTACCAGGAACACACCTGCCCCCTCACATTTCCCACTGTCCTATAGTGTCTTTCCAGTTTCCTGTCCCTAAACTGAATGCCAGTCTTCTGGTACCCCTTCAGGTTTGCGTTTCTAGAAATGATGAGAAACAACTCCCTGCGTTTCCTTTCTTCTGTCCTACTTTTGACTCCGTAAGAAAGGGTGAAGTCCCATGGAGACTGCATTTGCGTTTTAAGGGAGAAACAAATTGGGGCCATGTTGAGCATAACACATTGGTGGGGAACGGGGATTCTGGACCTGGGCTAGAAGAAGGGGCAGAGGATTGAGCTCGCTCTCCATTGCCAGGCTGCTCTCCCTTGGCCAGTGTTCTGGCAGTGTCAGGCAAGCAGAAAAGAGAAGGGGAGGACTGGATTGAGGGATGATGTGGTCTCAGGTGGGAGTGGCTGGGGGAGGGGAGAGGAGGGAGGAGCATGGAGCTGTTGGCTACCAGTGGGGGACGCTGTGGTGCAGGTGGCTGTTAGCACTTAAAGGACGTGTTTTCTGCTAACAGTTTTCTTGCGTGTTCTTTGGGCCTCTTGAGTAGCAAGTGTTCTCAGATAGTTGTAGTCTGACCTTCAGGTGTGAGGACCTCGGTTCCTAGTAATGGACACTCCTTTTACATTTGACCTTGGAAACGTGTCCACTGCTTGCCAAGCAGATAGAGCAGAGTGCTGCAGAGTCACAGGGCAGGCGAACACTAGGCAGGTGGTGACCCGTGGTGCTAAGACCACCAGAAACTTGCTTTGATCACATCTTTTTTTTCCTGAAATCCACAAAGGATACAAACAGAAAATTACGCAAGGGTCAAGATTGAATTTGTGTTTTCCAAATTGAGAGTTACAGTTCTGTGGTATCAGTTTTAGGAGCAACGTATTATAAGTTGACTTTTTTTCTTCATACTACGAAGTGTAATACTACAGCAAGTAAGTCTTCTAGTCATGCAAAAGGAAAAGGTGGTCACAGATGCCTGACTTATGTAAGAAAATGTTTAAGTGTTTTCAATACTTTTCCAAACTTTGGAAGACTTCCATAATGGGCTTTAAAAACCCATGTATGGGTTGTTGACAATGGGGCAGGCTGTGCATATTTGGGGTAAGGAATCTAAGGGAAATCTCTGTGCCTTCCCCTGAATTTTGCTGTGAACCTAAAACTGCTCTCAAAAATAAAATCCTAAAAAAAAGTGTATGCATTTTTTCATCTCAAAGGACAAGTTATTGCATGTTGTTTGTGCAGTCTCTTGAATAAAGTACACACTTAAAATGCTTGTAGAATGAATGAATCAGCCTGCAAGTGGAAATGGGCTGATTAAAATTAGCCAGATAAAGTAAAATACTTAACAGTCAACTTAGACTTCTAACAACTCTTCAAGTTCTATTGGTGGCCAAAAACAATATGTATTCTTTGGTCTTTTACTTTCTTTGGTCTTTTAGTTGATAAGAGGTAAAAGGGACATGTTTTTAGCATTTCTTTCTTCATTTTATACTGTAAAAAATATTACGGGTGGGTGGGAATAGCTCAGTGGTAGAGCATGTGCTTAGCATACACAAGGTCCTGGGTTCAATCCCCAGGACCTCCATTTAAAAAAAAAGTTACAAGTGGAAAGTAGACATTTTGTCTTATTTTTCAGGTCATGTACAACATCCCTAAGGCAAATCGATAAAATTATTGAACAACTTAGCCCTCAAGCTGCCACCAACAAAGACATCAGCAGGAAACTGGATTCCGTGAAACGACAGAAGCATAACAAGGTGCCTCCAAGTAACACATGAACTCTTGCATTTTTGAAAAAGTCATTATTCAGGCTCATTGAATGTTTAGGAAATGCGTATTCCGAAAAGTCCTTGAAAGACGCGAAGCAAATTTATAATAGAAAATTTTGAGTTCCTTTTGTAGGTTTAATTTTTCAGCTGTTTCCCTTTAACATCCTCTGTTTTAAGAGGGTTTTTAAAAGTACACATGCACCTGTACACATACATGTGTAATTGAGAAGGACTTCCCTTTTTTGGCTTTGCTTGCCTCCTCGCCTGTGTGCTTTCATAGTCTTGCGTCACCACTTTCTTGCACCCAGGGTGGGTCCCTGCTGGGCGTGCCGGCCTCTCACTCAGTCTCCTCGTGGTGCAGGAACTTTCTCTTTTTTCTGCTTGGCACCTGCTCGCACTGACTGTCTGCGCCGTGCTTCCTGCCGACACAGCCCTTGCCCCTCACGCACCCCTGCTCACTGTCCCCCGAGGCCGGCCTGCCCCAGCCCCACGGACCTGGTCGGCACTTCGGGTTGTAGGACTTAAGGGTAGGCACTGCCTGTTCCTTAGGACACCGTGTTTATGAGGTTTGAAACGTCTTTTAGAATTTATGTACACTTCCCGCGAATGCATCGCAGTGGAGAGAAATGACTAGTTTGGGCCATTTTACTGCCGCCATCCCAAAGGACTGACAGCTCGCCCTGTGCTGGCAGCTGCTTCACTGCAGTGAGGACGGGCCTCACAGCCCTTCCTCGGGCTCTGCTGGCGGGGGCGGGGGTGGTCAGCCCCAGTCCCTCCTTTTCTTTCCACTCACCCTTTCATCGTCGTCACCACGCCATCTCTCTCATGTAACCCCACAGCAAGAGCTCCCAGCGGCTGGAGGCAGCTGGGGTGTCCCCAAAGCAGAGGCGGGGCCATCTGGCCTCTGTGGGAGCGAGTGAAGAGTGGGCTTCTGGTGGGCCGGGGTGTTGGGGAGCGGAGAGTCGCTCTGGGTACTAGTGTAAGGCATTTACGCGTTCCTTGCTTCCTTCAGCAGCCCTTTGATGTTTAGAGATAGACTATTTAAAGAGGGAGGCTGTTTCAGTGAGATTTTGCTGAGAGAAAAACTGCAGGAGAAAACAAATTGCAAGTCATACAATATGGCTTTTATATTCAGGACGTCCCTTCGCCCCACACTCAGATCTGGTGTTTGTTTAAACGGCCTTGACCTTGGGAAGAAGAACCAGCTACCACGGGCCTGATTAACTGGGCAGGCCCTAGGGATGGCCGAGCTCTGGTGATGCAGAGGGAGACAGGACAGAGGGGCCTGGGGAGGACAGGGTAGAAGGGTGTATCAGAATATATTTTCCTGTTAAAATTCTGTGTTGTGTAGAATACTGTAAAGGACAGTCATGAATATGGTAAGTTATCAGAGGGGACCGACTTTTTCAACTTTTCGAGCATTTGTGTTTATGTTTCTTATCCCTGCAGCCTGTTGACCTCATAGCCCATTGGCTGCTAAGGTCAAACAGAGCAATGTAGTGATTCACGCAGTGTGTCACGGGGAAGCCAAGGGGAGCGGTTCCACCTCCCAGGTCAGTGGGGAGTCACTGCACCTGAACTGAAGTGCTCAGGCGTGTGGAGAGCTGAGCCGCCCAGTCAGGACAGGGGTGGGGGCGGGGGGTGCCCACCCACAGGACAGGCCTTGAGGCTTGCTTCCTGTTAGAATAAAAGTGGACATCACTCAAATTACGTTCTTTGTAGCAATGGTAACATGTGGAAGTTCCATTTTATTTTCATTTTGCTCTTGATGAAAGTTTAAAACATTTTGTAATGCTGTCTTTTGTATTCCACAATAAATCACCTCGTTGCTGTTTGCTGTATTCAGTATTTACCATTTCAGGAACAACAACTAAAGAAGATCACAGCAAAACAGAAACGTCTCCAGGCCATCCTTGGAGGAGCAGAGGTCAGAGTTGAAATAGAGCATGCCAGTCTGGAGGAGGAGGAGGCAGGTGAGGGGACTGGGAACAGTGTCTCTGTTCCTGCACTGAGGCTCGATGCCTCTAACCACTGGAGGGTCTCTCTTCAGTCCCGGCCTGGATGTGGGAAAAATACGTTTTTTTACTTAGTGTCAAAACAGAAATGGGAAAATTTTATTCTCTACAGTTGTAGAACCAAACCTCTTTTAAGTCTTAAGGGGTTTTAGGGAATGAAAGTGAATTTTTAACTCAGTCCAATAGAGGCTGCTGGTGCACATTTAGTATGATGTTTAAAAAACTAGGAATCTTAATATTCTTGTATAATTAATTTCATAAAGATAACTAGCATTTTGATTAAATTATATTTTGTAGACCCAGCATCATTTGTCACCATCCATTCATAGAGTTGCTTTCACATACCTTTTTGGGACATATTTCGTAGGCTTTCCAAGCGTCAGTTCTGTTAAGAAAAGGTGTCTTAATCCAGGTTATATTCCAGGGCCATGATTTTGTTTATATCACTGTCTCCTGGATGGCTGTCTTTTGGAAAACCTTTTGGGAAAATCATGAAAGTGAAATCTTTGTAGTCAGTGTGTATGTGTGTTTAGAAATTGTGTGTAGCTGCTCAGTTATTTACTACCTGAAATATAGATTAAGACTTCTTAGCATTTAAGCCCTTCAAGC